TATTATTATTATTATTATTATTATTATTATTATTATTATTATTATTATTATTATTATTATTTCGTGTATTTCTTGATTATATACTTCATTTTAATCTTATCTAATTATTTTACTTTTCGAGTATGACAAATATTTTAAATCTTATTTAACATTTTATACCAATATTTTTTTTACCTAACTGTGACAACTCAATGCAGTTAAAATTTGCAGGGGGTGCTCTCCAGCCCCTTTTCCCTCAAAGTTATGCCTGTGAGAAAATCACTTTATATCTTGAATGCAATGTCGATAATTAAAAATCTTTTCAGAATAGTTTATTTTGGGAGGAAATATTATTATGCTTTTATATGGAGCTACTATATATTATGCAAGTTGATCTTGGAATTTACTGTTGCATCCTGAAAGGCACTTCAGGAGTTTACTGTCGATTGGCTGGGCTAAAGGGATTTTGCCTAAATTATTTTCTCATGCTAAGAAAAGTTTTCAAGTCGGTTGTTGGTGCTGGCCTACTTGCTAGCTCCTTGCTATTATACTCAATATCGCTTCGCGAAATAGTCCATTGTGGAGGAAACAAATCTCATAGATAAATGTCGTAGTCTATCGTAAGTAGCTTAATCTGAGTAAATATTTGAAGTTCATACGAGTATTATAAGCACAACTCATGAACAGTATAAACATGAATGGAAACAAAAATATATGTGCTCTGTGAATCAAAGAATGATCTGATGTTGGCTGCAATGGTCACGTCTACCCCCGCAGCCATCTTGCAAATTCGAATCGCAGACGTCTCTGACATGACAGACGATACATTGAAAGTGTGCAAACGTAAAGAAAGCTGATCTCGTTTCTGATATGTTAACTTATGTATTTTTTCGTGACATTTACTTCATAACATTTCTCGCGCCAATCATCTTATTGTTACGTTTCATGATATTCCATTAGTTCCAGTTAGTATTGAGACACCTATAACACGATGCCTGTCTCAGGAAAAATGTCAGGCAAATCTCTTGCGTATTGCGAATCCGTGGGTTTGAACACAACCCTGTGTTTCTTTCGTTAAACGGGAGTTAACATAGGATGCGTAGTAAAATTGTATTGGGGACGTTTATGTCAAACTCTCAGCTTGTAACGACATATTTTTGGATAACACATAATATTTCTATTAGTAAAGTGAACTTAACTATCACTTATGGTTTGTTACAATATTTTATATATAATAGTAGTCAGAATCACAAGAGTCTTAAATTTTTAAAATTATATATTTTTGAGAAATGCTGCATATTTAGTCACTATTTTACGTACTAGCACTCCCTGAAGCATAAAAATTGTCTTGTTTCCAAATAAAAATGATAACAACTTCCTAGGGGTTAGTTTAGATTATTTTCTTCTGATATCTTCTTCACAAAACTTGAAGGGCCTCGAACATTTTAATATTATTTATAAGTATCATTATTGGGTGATATTAAGTAAACAGCCCATAGTCATTGTAAAATATGTTGATTCACATTTTTCTTTCAAAAAGCATTGTATGCAATTGTTCCGTAATTACTTCCGGATTCAGTGTGTCACTATTGCATGCTTTGAATATATTCTCGGCAGAAATTGGCACAACTTTTTAACGACTGACGATTTATTCAAGAAACTTATTTTGCGTAGTAAAGTGTAAACTCACCTCTTTCGCGGGCCCACTGCAATCTCTTCTGTTCCACCAGTGACATGGATTTATTGACACTTAGGGTCATGTCTGTTCTTCACAACGGTCGGACAGCGTGACGTTAACTTTTCCTTGCGATCGCGTTACGCATGTTGCATTGACGCGAGCACTTGCCACGTCCCGTTTCACGAAACTGGCGTCTACTTGGGGCCCAGGGGAGCCCTGAGCGCACCCATGGGAAAGGCGGCGGGCCCCGCAGTAGCCGCGGCGACTAGCGGCCGTTATGTTGGGCGCCAGCATTCGCAGCAACTCCGTACGAATTCACGACCTCAGCTAATCGATGTAACAGCTTTCGTCGTCATAGCAACTTGGCTCGCGTGACTCACCAACACCATCGGCCTGCGAGTAGTACAAGAAATAGGTTTTCCTCTCGTCGATAGGGAACCAGTCCTGCTGGTCTAACTGAGGTTCACTATTTGGAACCACCCCCATCACCCATCCTTCGGCGCTGCTTTTTCAAAAATAGTAACTATCGATCCTTAAGTGTATTGGAAACTGAGGTATTTAACTGCGTATGAAAGCAATATTTTATACAGAATTCAAATATTATGCAGAATGCTCAAAACGTGAAACAATGCCGCGTACGAGCTGTGGCATACCGTACGTTTAAATAGGAAAAAGTGTTTTTATATTTGATCTGTCACATTTGTTTCTCGAAAATGTGTAGTATTGCATAAATGATCTATCACGATAAGTTTACAGAAATTAGAGAGATTTAAATATTTTTTGTTCAATATTTTCGTTGTTTCTGGACTATGACTATTGACTATGTGTCATCAGCGTGTTTTTTGAGGTTCATATATGGACTAGCTTCTATAACGGGTCGTCGTTAAACAACGGCAGAGGCAGTGGATTTTTACGTAACGTCTAATGTTATAGTGAGATAAGTATATTGGCGTAAAATTACAGATTTACCCAGAGGGCAGATATACTTAAAAACATTTCAAAAGCACCCCCAACGAGAAGGTCCGTGTATTTGCATGAGAAATGATATCGACCGCTTTGACGGAGTTCAATGTACTTTGCGTTGGAAATGTTCGAAATGGCACAGGTACTTTCCTCATCACTCAGAGTTGTCACGTTAAATTGCTACACATATCCAACAAATTCAACACATAAACGTCGCAAAGTGAAAATCATTTTACACCATTAATGAGTAAACCGACTCTGAAAAACGGCAACAAAACTTTCTTATAACTAAAAAAATAACGTTTGTTTCTTTGTATAGTATATTAAATAAATTATTATTATTATTATTATTATTATTATTATTATTATAAGAAGAAAAATGTTTTTTGTTTCACTTAAAACATGAAAACAGTAATGGAAATTTATTTAATCTGCAGCATAATTTGTGAATCAATTCATTGTCAATGACCTCATCTCGATCGATTTTCGTCGTTTTCATAATTCAAGGCGAAGCGCTGATGTGGTTCCTTATTTTATTTCTGGAAATAATTGAGGATATTTTTACTTCTTAATTGTATAGATAAAAAACAGTTGTTAACGTTTTTAGATAAAAAAATCAAGTCCCTGCTATTTTTGAAATGAGATACTGGACATAAATTATCTTTCCTCTTAATGAATCTATTGAGATATTTTAATGAATGTAAAGAAATTAACAATGTTAGAACTCGTGTTTTAGTTCGACTTAAATACATTCACACTCACGAATTAAAGATGTTTTAAAACGCCTACATAGTGTGCCACTTTCGAGGCATTTAACTTAGGTTTTCACACGATGTGACGTTTGCGTGCACCACGGGGGTAAAATTGCACGGATAAAGTTAAAAGACGCACATTTAACTTGAGGAATATGGGATACGTTGACGATATATACTATGTCTACGTTACAATGATGAAATCACGGACTATCACGGGCAGTACTAGTACAGCTTTTATTATAATCAGACGAAATAACAAAATTCTGAGATAGGTATTTTCTTGAAACAATAGTTCAAACAATCCCCGAGAGGAAACATTATTTTCGATTACCTATCAATTTTCCGAGTTTAAATTTCCGAATGGGAAGTTTTCCGAAAGCTATTTTTCCTATTTTCTTTTTTTCCAAAGCGTAACTAAAGAGTACTAAAAAGTAATTAATTTTCAGAACACTTTTAGTTCTTTGAAATGTTATTCATGTTAATTTTAATTGATATATTATAAAGGTATGTAGTGAAGTAATATCCAATGGCACAAATAAGTTTTAGACGCCAATTTTCTTCTTTGTGTTGAGGATACGTCAAAATAATAGCCTTAATTCTACTTTATACTGATAACCCCTTTTTTGAAGCATTGCTTTCACTTTCCGCCCCAAAATTCCGGCACGTCTCCAACGGGTAAAAAAGTAAATAACATCTTGTGCGTTTCTATATTTACCTGGCGGTATTCAAGGCTAGTGCTTCGCAAGGCTATTATATTGCTTCTGAAGTCCGTCTGCCTGCACCTTGTTCACAGTTTGCGACAAATGAAAAAACAAAAAAAAACAAAAAACAATAACACAGTACTATAAAAGTATAACAATATTTTGACCTCGTTCGTAGGCTTCCGCGGCCGGAGTCAATACATTCTTGCCTATACGGGACGAGCTGCGTCTCGGACAATTGTGCTGACGTTTCGGTCGAGAATGTAATATTTTGAGCTGCATTTTGGATTACGTCTGCATAAGAAATTTGATCTTTGTTTCTTAGCGAACTAAATACTAATGATAGAGCAATTTGGCCTTCATAATATATGTGAGTCGTTATTTTTAATTAAACCAATTTTTGTAAATAACTGCATCAATATGCCTGAAATTACTTTGAAAGTCCCAACAACAAACCACGTATTACTTCGGAAAAAGATATCCAGATTTTGTGGGGAGAATACTATTACATGACCCAGTTCATATAAGTTTTCATTTAAATAAACGTGCAATAGGAATGTTTCTCCATGGAGCGTTCTTGGGAATCGAACGGATATATACGGGTTAATAAAACTAATTCAAACCTAATGAAATAGGAAAGGATCTTAATCGAAAACAAATCACGTTCGGAATGCTTCTTTCGAAAAAATGCACTCGGAAAAGTGGAATCAGAATGTATCCAATTCGAAAAAAATAATGTTCGGAATGTTGCTTTGGAAAAAAAATAATTCGGAAAAGTGAACGGTAACGATTATTTTTTATTGTAATATTACTGTTGTTCTTGCCGTACTGTAACACCCGAGCTCACGAGAATTGTCGATTGGCTGCTTCCGGCACGAGCGTCGGCATTCCACATTTAGCACCCAGCAACCAATTGTTATTTGACTGCTTTTTCGCCACCAGAGACCGACACAACGACAAACTTCAGTCACATCATTGCTTTGGAATGACAGAGTTCTAAATAACATCGTGGGGGTTTGTAGAGGTCGGAGAGAAGGAAAAAGTTGACAAATATTGTCCTTTATAAAGAAAATGCCTTTCTTTAACATGTTCCGTAGCCAGAGTCTATATTTTGGGGGTACTTAATACCGAAAAATTGGTAGGCAGCTAAACGTATGTCCATCCGTGTGTCTGTTGGCAACGATAGCTCCTAAACCGTTCATCTGATTTTCTTCAAAATTGATATTCCCCGATCGACCTGAACGATATTTAGGTTTTCCGAGCATGAAAAGGATATTTTTATTTTTCAGGGTACTTTGTATGAAGTTTCAACAATATTTCCAAAATTCTCTCAAAAATGACTCCAATTTTTTGAATTAAACTTAGTCTTTGGATTGCTTAAAAGACGCTTAAGAGAGTGGAGCGTCTCATTTCAGGCCACCTTCCAAAATACCTTTCTTTGAAAGTTGCAAAAGTTCAATTTTTCCGTGTCTTTCTATAACTACAGTACTGAAGATAGAGAATTTTCTCCTTAATAAAATCCATTATTTAAAGACATCTTAAAATAAGGCCATGTACATTTTTTTGAAAAGATAGTCGTTTCGTCTAATATTCCGTGCAAAATAGGTAATTTTTATTTTTTTAATTTTTTTCTTCAAAACACGACTTCAAATTTAATATTTCATTTTTTCCTTGTATCTATCAAAAGGTGGAAAAAAATATGGCGCTAGTTCCATTTCCGGCCAACTTTATTTTCGAAAATCGCAACAGAACCACAAAAGTATATAGATATTTTGGCCTAAAACAAAATCTGTTGTAAAAAATAAGATTTTCAAAAAATTCATGTACTATTTTTTGGAAAAAGAGTACTTTTTGCGAAACTTGTGCTTGAAATTTACGAAATTTCTAAAAAAATTCTCAAAAACTGCTACAATTTTTTTCTTTCCATTTTCTCCTCGTGCGTATCTAAGGACGGTAAAAAATATGCTGCTAATCTTATTTTCGGCGAACACTCAGTATTTTCAAAACATTCCAAAACTACAAAATTGAAGGTAGAAATCTTTGCCTAAAACAAATTCTGTTCAAAAAATCAGCTCTTACAAAAAGACGTGTTCAATTTTTGTAAAAAGCAAGTAGTTTCTGTGTAATTTGTATTTGAATTTCTGCAATTTCTAAAAAAATCAAAAACCGCTTAAACTTTGTTTTTAAATTTTCTCTTCGTATATATCAAAGGACCGTAAAAATATAGTCCTAAGCCTATTTTTATTATCTCATCCATTGAAATGTCTTGTCTCCAAAGAATTTTCTCTCTTCATCTATCCCACCATTTTAATAATTATCGTTTATCGAAACAGATTTGTGAAGAATACTAAGGAAAGTTTTAATGGCTGAATTTCCTACTTTTATTTGATTTTATATTGTTAATTACTACTTATCGTATTTACTGAATATTTCATATTTGAAATGGATAGTAAATTTTCTTTCAAAAAAATTCTCATTTTCGCCGAACTCTTTGTATTTTTGGATAGTGTAAAGGAACTAATTTTCTCCAGATGCTGATCTCAGGACAACATGAGCGTGGGGAAGTCAAAAGGTAAGAACAAATGTACCCTGACACCGTTTTAACATTCACAATCACAGTATTTTTTATTTAATACTTTTCTGCTACAGTGTACAAAGCCAATAAGGTGGGTGATTTCATTGGGCTCCTCGATGGGAAATCGGTGTGGCTTAGGAGTTTGGCTGGTGATTTGTGAAATGAGTGGGATAAAGGGGTTTATAGGTCGTTGGTATCTCGTTGGTTAGCGTGCTCGCTTTCCACGGCGCAACTCCGAGTTCGATTCCCGACCGGGACAAAATTATAACTGTTCGCTTTCCTCACAAATGTTCCAGTACCTATTGCCGTGCGGCGGAGAGAACACCAACCATAAGGTTAAGAAGGCCAGTATATGCAGTGGAGGAATGTATTTTTTTGCTAACCACACGAACCC